CTGCTGTCTATAATCTGTATGGGACCAGGCAAAATAGCAATCAGGAATTACAATAATTTGTAAAATGTTTTGAGAAACAAAGCAAGAAATGCATCAATCTACAGACCATATTTTTTATAAGCTAGCAGTAAAAGCTATAGAAAACTCATTACAATTTACTGCAACGCAGAAAACAAAAGCATTTTCACACATCTCATGAAAAACAGAAGTAGCCATTATTTTTCAATCCTCTGTGAGTCTGTGGGCCATTTTCAACACAGCTAAGCAGGCATGGAATTTAGGCGGTAATTTTCACAGGGACCCCAAGTGAGTTAATGGCCTAATCTTTATTGAAAATTCTGGTCTTAACTTTGAGTTGCCAATATCAGTAACTGCTGCCATGATCAAATATCATAGTCAGTGATCCTTCAGTGCTTTCGTTCCTTAAACTGGCTTATGTTACTCAGTTTGACATTTCAAAAAGAAACGAAAAAAAAAAGCACATTATGGTGGTTTAGTTATGTTCTTCCATTTGTGGGCATTAAATAGCGGCACCATAGCTCTGCCCATAAATCAGAAAAAATGCAGACATCTGAACAAACAAACCTACTGAAAAAAACATGTATTACAGCTGCAAAAAAGTAAATACGGACTTTTTTTTCTGTGCCTCTAGGAGAATCATCACAATAAAAATAAATACAGATGCTAAAACCAGAAGGATTATACAAGTTAGAACTGGTACAAGACTATGCATTTTATTAGCATAATTTATATTCTAACAGGGTCCAATCTGCTGTTTAGAAATATAAGGAGTATCCAGCCTCTGACAGGATAGGGCCCTGCGGCTTTTTCTTTATCACAATAAAATTAGGTTTAACCCAATCAGTACTCCGTGGATCTCTTGTAAATACATATAGAGCCTTACATAGAAATGATCAACTTATAAAAATGTCAAATGCTGCTCTGTATTAATGGAATCAAAATAAAACATATTAAAGAGAATATTCAGGCTATAGATGGGTGGCCATTCACACAACCATTCACCTGACTCTACCAATGTCACTGGAGTTTGGACTGCTTCAAATGGGGGCATAAATTTAGCCTGAAAAAATAGTGCTCTCAGAGTGATAACAACCTGCCTTAGCTCTCATAATCACACAAACTCCATTCAATACCTACATCTCTTGGACTGATATTTCTGCCCTCAAAAAAAAAAGCTACACTTTGGGAACTTGCATATGAACAGGCACAAACACCAATAAGAGGTCCCAAGTCCCTCGGGTGCCAACTTTGAGCTGAAGGCAGCCTATGAACCAGTTACTTCACTGCTTTGGGAACAGCCAGGACAAAATAAAAGTGCAACATATTTTTCCTGA